ATATATTTTATTGATTTTTTTACAGAGAAGAAGGGAGAGGGATAGAGTCAGAAACATCGATCAGAGAGATTGATCAGCTGCCTCCTGCACGCCCCCCAGTGGGGATGTGCCCGCAACCAAGATACATGCCCTTGACCGAACCGAACCCGGGACCCCCCAGTCTGCAGGCCGACGCTCTATCCACCGAGCCAAACTGGTTCGGCCCAAGTCCCTTTTTAAAAAAATATATTTTTATTGATTTCAGAGAGGTAGGGAGAGGGAGAGATAGAAACATCAATGATGAGAGAGAATCATCAATTGGCTGCCTCCTGCACGCCCCCCACTGGGGATGTAGCCCAAAACCTGGGCATGTGCCCTTGAGAATCGAACCGGCTGCCTCCTGCACGCCCCCCACTGGGGATGTAGCCCAAAACCTGGGCATGTGCCCTTGACTGGAATCGAACCCGGGACCCCTCAGTCCACAGGCCAATGCTCTATCCACTGAGCCAAACCAGCTAGGGCTGCCAAGTCCCTTTTATCATATAAGCTCTCATATGCACAGATTTTTTGGGATTAGGGCAGAGACATCCATGGGGGACCCCCGTCTAGCCTACCACAGGCACCCAGGACACCCACCCTCCTTTGCCCCTGTGGGACTGTCCCCTTTCTGATCTGCTCTCCCTCCAGTGAGAATGGACCCAGGGTTTAGCCCCGAAACATTCCCCCATAACTTCCCTCCTTCCTGCTATAAAAGAAAAAGCCCTGAGGGTCCTGGACCCTGAATGCTCCCTGGGAGTCCCTTCCAGGCGCCCCGGGCTCCTCTGTGTGTTCAGGGCCATTCACAGCATCGCTGGCGGTGTCCTCTGGCATCCCCAGGGTCCTGCTCTAAGGATGTCTGTGCCCCCCAGATCCCCTGGGGTCCTGTTATCACATCCCAAGGGGCCAATCAAAAGCAATAGAAAGCTCACGGCAGGACCGGTTCCTAGTCTGCTGGGCCCCATGCCAAACGAGAACGTGGGGCCCCTTGTTCCGACCTCAAGACCGTTCAAGCAGAGTATTCAACCAACTGAACAGCTGCTCAGCTGCCGTGGCCCTGGGGTCTGTGTAACATACACGGCCCAGGCAGCTCTGAGCTGTGCGCCCTGCATGGCCACCTTGCCATCCACCCCTCCCCACTGCAGCTACACTATAGTGCCCCCTACCGAGCCCAAGAGGCAATCACACCCGAGTTCAAAATCAAATCCTGCCTCTTTCAGGCTGGCTTCTGTGAGAATTGATTTTTCTTCTTTTTAAAAAATATGTTTATTTATTTCAGAGAGGAAGGGAGAGTAAGAGAGAGAAACAGTGATGAGAGGGAATCATTGATTGGCTGCCTCCTGCACGTTGGACTGAGCCTGCAACCCAGGCATGTGCCCTTGACCGGAATCGAACCTGGGACTCTTCAGTCCACAGGCTGATGCTCTATCCATTGAGCCAAACCGGCCAGGGCAGGCCTTGATTTCTTGCCTGTAAAACGGGGATAATTGTGCCTAGCTCGGGAGAGAGGCTTCAGCAAGGCAAAGGTTTGGCACAGGGCACACTGCTCCCCTCAATGCCCTCCCACACCCCAGCACAGTACAGTGGGGCCTTGACTTACGAGTGTCCTGACTAACGAGTTTTTTGAGATACCAGCTGTCTCTCGGCCGATTTTTTGCATTGAGTTGATAGAGTAATTTGAGTTAACGAGCTCCTTAACGAGCTCGGTCTCAGAACAAATCAAACTCGTAAGTCAAGGCCCCACTGTATGTATTTGTAGAATGAACGAAGGCAATAATGAGTGGCCTGGCTGGTTTGATATGCCCCTAAAATCCTTCTAGAATGGCGTCGGTGTCCTGCTAGAACGTTCCAGCAGAAACTATCCCCCTTCCCCTGAAGCAATCTGTAGGTCTGTTATAACAAGTGGCAAAGCTGGACCCCCTATAATGTTAGTCCCCAGTTTCCCCACGGCGGGCTCAGGGCAGCACTGAAATACAGACACACACACACACACACACACACACACACACACACACACACACACACTAAAATACACACACAGAAGCCACTCCATTCGATTGCCTCACAGCCCTGGGGACCAGTTCAACGAATGCAGGTGCCTGCTACACAAATAAAGCCGATGGTAACCGGGTACTGCAACCAGCAGGTCCTGTTACAGGACCCGAGGTCCCAACACAATCCACATCGCTGTCCTGCTCCCATAAGACACCACGGGCTGCAACAGCGTGGCCAGGGTGGCCGGGCAGGTTCTCCTGTGGCCGAGACAATAGCTGCGGGGCCGCCTACATCAGGACACACCCGATCTGCCCTGTTTTCAGGTCATGGGCCTGACACCTGTTGTCCTTGTAAACCCAGGGCCCTGCTATGAAACTGCCTGGAGCTAATTTCCCTGTTACTGGGGCCTCCTATTAGAGGTATGCAACAGAACATTCCAGAAGCATGCGAAAATAAACTCAAGATCCCGTGACAGGCCCAGGATTCCACACCACATCATACCTCTGGGGCCACCTGCCAAAGACTCTTGTCCTGGGACCTGCCCCAAGGAACAAAGGGCCCAGGGCCGGCTATACCGAGTACCCCTGGCCCCCCTTCTCTAACAGACTCCGGGCTTGGGCACTTACTTCCCTAATATCACTTACAGAACTGGTTCCACCCTATTAACACACGTGACCACAGTTCATCCTCCCAATGGGGGCAGGGTGGATGAACCCATTTTACAGATTAGGCAACTGAGTCTCTGTGGTTGGGTGGGGGGTCGCCTGCGCAAGGTCACGCAGCTGATGAGCAGCAGGGCTAGAATTCAGAGCAGGGCCTGTGGTCTTAATGTTTGTTTGGAGGTTTCTGCCCCAGTTCACTGCTTCCTGTTATTGTCTGTGTCTTGTTCAAACCCACCCTATGAGAAGGTGGGGATTTAAGTTCAAAAGTCATTCATTCACGCACCTAAACGTGTATGGAGAAGTCACAACTTACTCCACGCCCTGGGGATGCAGGCATTCCTGCCCTCTCGGAGCTTGGATTCCGGTGCTCAACAGATAAACAGGCAACGTAGTATAGAACTTGTACAATAAACCCACGAATAGATCAGAAATAGGACTTACCTGTCCACGTAGACAAAGCAGGGAAGGGTGATTGGAGGGTCGGAGGTTTGGCCAAGTGGAAAGAGGTTAGTGAGCTTTAGAGACTACGGAGTCGGGGCGGAGTGGGGGCAGGAGGCAGGGGGAACCTGGGGTAGTGCTCCAGGTGCAGGACACAGCCGGGGCACAGGCTCAGAGGAGGGGCCGGGCTGGTGGGCACAGGCAGGCAGAGGGAGGGAGGGGAGGGCGGTGGGCAGAGGGCAGAAGCACCCAAGTTGTGATCCAAGGTAGGAATTGCATCTCCAGCTGCCCCAGGGCGGTCCCACTCCTCATGCAAGAGAACTGTCGCGCCCAGAGTTCTCTTCTGCGTCTTTGTGACCCACAGGCCCACCAGAAGCGTCCCCCAGTGCACACCAGGCGCCCGCCCCACCCGTGACTAGGCAGCCTGACATGGTGGGGTGCCAGGAGACGCCCCAACGACCGCTGGGAGGAAACAGGGGAGCCGGGCTGTTGTTGTTGTAAACATGGAGGCCCCACCCTGAACGGAAGCACCTGCAGGGGGAGGGGGCTCCCCAGCAGCCTCAGCCCCTCAGGGTGCCCAGCCCTCCAGCAGGGGTGGGGCGGGCTTGCAGGCTGAAATGCGGGCGGTGCCCCCTTGTGACCTGTCCCTGCCCCTTCCTGCCCTCTTTGATGTGGCCCCACTTCCTCTGGCAGGAATCCCCGCCCTCGCCGGGTAAAAGCCAGAGCCGGGCTGATCCCGGGGCGGCTTCCCTGGACGAGCGGGCTCCTCTCCTCAAGGCCCCGTCTCCCAACCCTGTACCATGGTGTGCCAGTCCCTGGTACAGGCATGGGGGGCAGGGACCTGGGGACCCCAGCAGCGCCGGCCCCGAGGGGCGAAGCCAGTCTCCAGCCGTGCCTTCTACTCCAGGCCTCCACGTCTGCTTGGGTGAGGGTCTGGGTCTCCCTCTCCTCGTCCTTTCTCCTCTGAACTCTGTCCCATTTCTGAAATCTGAGTCTGTCCCCACCCGTGGTCTGGCCTGTTGTGTCCAGCTGAACCCTCTGTGGTCTCTCCTTGTTTGTGTGACACTCAAGGTCCCTTTTCCCGTTTTTTTTTTTTTTGCTTCTAACAGATCTCCTTCTGCTGTTACCAACAGCCAACCCCTCCCACCTCCCGTTCTCTGGCCATCAGCAATCTTTCCCTGAGTTTGCATGACTGCCAGTTTCTCCCCACCTCCCGGTTCTCCTCTCCCAGCCCCACCTCCAGGGGCTCTCTAACCAGCCTGAGCAGCCAGTGGCCCTGCACCTTCTTGCTATGCAACTTGCCCTCAAGACCAATGTCCTTCCTTGGACTTTCAGGCTAAGAAGTTCCCAGAATCTGAGACCTGGGGCTCAGGCACTGGGATGCCAAGCAAAGAACCTGCTCCTCAGAGGAGCTTGCTCATCTGCAAAGGGGCATGGTGCCCACTTGGGGAAGGGGACTCCCAGCGGGGGAGCCCCTGTCTCGCTCCCCCACTCAGGAGTCAGAAGAGAAAGGCCAGGTTGAGGTCAAGGCCCAGATTGCGGCTGCTGCTTCATCCCTCTCCCCAAGGAGGCCAGAAAGGGCCCAAGAACCCAGGAGCCCCCGCCCTCCCTCACTTCCTCCCCAGGGACACAGGGCGGGTG